ATGGCCCTTTTTACAGTAACCCCCAGCCTGAGTGTGTGCATGTAATTTATGGAAGTTTAGGAATCTAGTCTCTAAGGCAGCAATAAAGAACTGAAGGTAGAAAGTGACTAGGATAGCTCTTGGAGGTCTGTGCTAATCGCCCTGCTCAGAGGATGGCTTGGCTCTACACTCAAGTATGTAGGGGTAGAAAAGGAGCATGTTGTGATCTTGTGGGTACTCCATGGAGCAGCTTGGCCCTTTTAACCTCCTGAACTGCAAAACGATCTACAGGAATATCTTGTTGGTGATCCCTTAGAGAGCAGTGTGCTGCCTTGCCTCCCAAACAATGCCTTTGTGTGATGCTCCTGTTGCATGCCACCCAAATGAGATGTGACAGTCTCCTGCTGAAGCTCCTGGAAGACTTGCTGGCAGTTGGTGCAGGACATTTCCAGTGTTGCTGCAATAAGTGGTGTTTTGTCTGTGGCATCACGAGGCTGCAGCAATTGTTCTCAGGCAACTGGTGTGTCTGCATGTGAGTGCAGCAGGGTCTGCCAGGGCACCCTGGTGCCTGCTGTGAGCACATTCTGTCCTGAGCTGACCTGAGTTAGAGCTGCTGCCAAAGGCAAAGATGCTCAGCTCTTCTGAAAATTCATGGGCTTGTAGTAAAGTGTGGTCCTCTGACTGCAACAAACAGATAGCTACTACTCTGTGATGCTTAATAACCTTTTATTTTAATGCCAATTATGTAAACTTGGGTGTCTTGTGTCTTTCAGATTCCTCTTGTGGCACTTGCAGAATAAGCTGTAAAACCGAAGGCATTGCAGTGACTATCGGGAGTTAACCTTTCTTTTAATGACCTAAGTTTAGACATCTAGGTCTGTAAATGCTTGTAGAGATGTTTAAAACAGGGTTTGACATTTGTGACCACTATGGGGTTATTTAAAAAAACAAAATAAACAAAAACAATAAAACCTCTTGCATCTAACACTTGAATGGGGCTAATCAGGGGTCATTTCATAGAATCACAGAATGATTTGGGTTGGAACAGACCTTAAAGATCATCTGGTTCCAACCCCACCTGCCATGTGTCATGGACGCCATTGAGTAGATCTGGTTGGTCAAGACCCCATCCTAACCTGGCTGTGAACACTTCCAGGGATGGGGCAGCCACAGTCTCTCTGACCAAACTCTCTGGCCTTTTAAAGAAGTCTTTGTAGGAATTCTTGGACTTCAGAAAAAAAAACTGTAAGTAGAACAGAATTTTGGACTGTCCTAGAATTTTCCATATTTTTTTACCTGTCATTGACTCTGGAGTAGAAATGGGAATAGAAATGTTACGACTGAAAGGAAATAGGGTTGGCCAAGGATTAAAGGAAAAGCTAAATTAAAACCCCCTCAAGTAACTGGCTTTATCATTTCAGTGCTATGCCTTTCATTTCTCTGAGAGCTGAGCTTGGGTGGTAGAGGAGATGGAATAAAGGCTGTAAGGTCCAGACAAAAAGAACTGTTTTGTGTCTTTGTATTAAATGTTAACATTGTTAAATAAACTAAGATTTTTGTATCTCACTACCAGCTCACTGTTGCAGTTCTCCCTCCTTTACTTCAGCAAGCAGCTTGAGCCCTTGAGTTTCAGAACTTCCTTCTGTAAAAAAAAAATCTTCAGTGAAGCCAAAGACATTTTCATCATTGACGTGGATGTGAGGATAAAAGGGCAGAGCATTTGCAGAGTATGCCTATGACAGAGTTAGTCAGACACATCCCAAATTTAGGAACCCAGCTTTAGATTGGCAAGATGTTGGTCCTGCTGGAGCTTTTCCTGTTTTATCTCTCTGTGGGGTGGTGATTTTGCCACTGGGAAATACCAGCAAATTCAGGTTGCTCCTCTCTTCTTCCAGTATTGAAATGAAAGTCTGGACCAAACTTCCTCCATTCTCTTTCACTTTGAAGTTGAACTGTGATTTTTTTTTGGGGTGGAGGGGAGGGTGAGGTATTGCTATGTTGGTATATGAACAGTTTACTGGCTCTGCTTACACTTTAGGATGTGATTTGGTTCCAAGGTACGTGACAATTATAACCACTCTGCTGAATATTCGTTAGGAATGCCAGTCAAATTAGGGATGTCTTAACAGTGCTGTGAACCATGACAGCTGAATAAATGAGGTAGTCAGCATGTTATGCAACAAGACATTCTACAGGAATGTCTTTACCAGCCCCTTTGTATACATACAAACTGTTCATGTGAGTGTGTGCATGTTTTTGTTAGGGATTCAGAGTTACAAAGGAGGATACAGAGTTGATGTTTGATACAGAGCACTGGCGTTTGGAGAATCTTGGCATCCTGAGATTTTGGGACAGGTAAAACTCTTAATTGGAACAAAAATTGAGCCAAAAGGCTCATTGAATTCTAGGTCAACATTCACTGTTGAAGCAGACTGGTTCACTAAGGTGTGTGTAAATCCGAGTTGGAGTGGTGTTTCTGTTGTTTTGCACGTTAAATGGCAGCCCGTTACATACCCTGGCAGATGGGCAAGGTTAACTCCAGGGCAGCTGGGCTGTTCACAGCTCCTCACTACATCCAGAAGGAGAATTTGTGTTGTAGTAATGTGGAGATCCAGGAGCAGACATTTTGTAATGCTTCCAGTCAAATCAATGGAGCAAGGCTGATTTAGGTGAGGTGTAAACAAACCTGCATGAATGCTGAAGGTAGCATTGAGAAGTGTCTAGTGGATTGACAAGTTTTATTTTCAATAAAACTTTTGTATTTAGTCTGTGTGTTTGTGTTCTGGACTTCATAAGCATTCGTTACCTCAAATGTAAAATACTCATTTTTGCCTGCACTACCAAAACCAGTTAAATTCTTCAGTTCCTAGCTTAAGTTTATTTTTCATTATTTCTGCTACTTTTGTTTTTATTTTCTTTTGTTTTGCATTAATTTAGTCAATTTAAGGCTTGTCTAATTCCTAGAATTTTTTTAAAAAAACGTGCATTCCAGTACCTATAAATACAGCAACTACTTGTTAATCACCCAGATTTGTACCAATTTCTTTTAAACTATATTTTGTGCCAAAATAAACAAGCCAGACATGGAGAAGTCAGATCTGATCTGACCTCTTCACTTTATGGACTTCGGTTTTGCAGGCCATCAAAAATGGATGTAGATGGATGTGGAAGCAGGGCCTCTAACAAATCTTGCTTGCCTCTAGGTTTGTATATCTGCTTTCTCTTTTCTTTGTCTATTTTTATGCTCTTTAAGGTTTATTTTTGAGACCTCTATCCTGTGGGCTCCATGGGTTCAGAGGAGACATCACGTCATGTAGATTTTGAAAGACTTGTTTCCATAAGACATGAGGTGAAAAAGTGGGGGGATAAAGTTTTTAGATATGGATCACTATAAAAGGAGGTAAAAGAGATAGAAAACAAAACAGTAAAGCAAGAAAGGGAAGGTAGAAACCCCAAAAAAGGTCTGTTTTAGAAACAGAACAAGGTATAAAAATATGTATTTTTTCAGGCTCATTGTGCTGGTGTGTGGTCCATGCCATGGAGAGTTTTAACAAGGACAAGTTTCCTTTGGTAGATCTACTCACACTATGGTCAAAGAGCTGCTGAATGATAAACCAGCAGTTCTATTTATCTTCATCATACTAGCAGGCTCATTTTTTTTATTATTAATAACTGAATACAGGGTCATGGACAGGACTCTTATATGTAAAGCACATTTTGACTGAGTCAATTTTCACAATCTTATAGGTAGTATTGATTTAATTTGTACAATCTTATAGGTAGCTTGGAAAAATAAAATGAGAAAAGATTTTATTGCAACAAGGAAGAAATTACATGGAAATATTTCCTTCCCAAACTCTTGCAAAAAAGATAGCTGACAATAGTAGCTGTTAAAGACTTCATCTGTTTACTGTGAAAACCCCCCCATTTTGATTCCCTTTCTCTTAAAATATGGTTTGCAAGGTGACTTGGATGATGAGGTGAGGGATACAATACTGAGATCTTTGTAGAATTTGTTAACCATCTCTTCTTTCAGACCAAGTAGCCATATAAAAAACAAAAAAAACCTGAATTTACTCTTAAAATTGAGAAATATATTTTGGCATGTTTAGAAATTAAGCTGCAGCCAGAAGAAACCTTGTGCTAGAAACAGAGCTTCAGAGGTAGTACCCATCAGTGGTGTTTGCCTCAGCTGAGGCTACAAAGGGCTTGTCTATGTAGCTTTCCTGTAGTTTTTCTCTCTGTTATTCTCCTGCACTGCAGATTCATTTGTTTTTTAAAGAAGTTGGGAAGAGCTACATAAAATCAAGGACAAATTGAGTACTGCATGATTCATCCCTATATACTGTGTCTATGTGAAGAGGCAGCAGTAATTGCTGATAAAAAGTAGAGGGTTTTGCCTAAAATGCCATTTGATGTGTGTGTCCACAGAATTTTATGGTATTTTATTACTGCTTTTTCCAACCAAGGTAAACATTCAACAATCTCCAATGGAACAGGATGGGACAGAGCCTTCCTGGAAGAAGGCAAGGGGTTACTTACCTGCACTCAGGTATTATTAAAACAATGTTGGTTATACAGACTTTTAATTTTGGTGTAGGGTGCCTCTAGAATACAGGGGTGGATACTCTTCTAGGAAATAGTGTAGCCTTTTTTTCCTCCCAGAGGTAGGTACATGGCAAGTAGGAATATGATGAAGTCAATATAAGAAATCTTCAGCTCCCTTTTTGCAGAGGGGCCTTCAATGGGAAGAAATCAAATAAAATCAAACCTTGAAAGGACGGGGTATTTCTCTAAAATCAGTTTTGCATGCTAATAAAGGTCAGCAAATGGCACTTATGGCTAAAGTGACAAAGTCTGTGTTTTAACAGTCCTTCACATCATATGGCTTAACTGAAAATGGTGGCAGATATTCCCAAAATTCCAAAATGCATTTACAAAATTATTACTTGAATACAAAGTGGTAAGTCAAATATTTCAAACATGAAATCTGAAAATACAGCATAAAGATGGCATGTAAGTCTGTCAACAGTTCTCTGAAAGCTTTATGTCTGCAGATGTTGAAAATGTTTTTCAATGTAGTGCTCCCAAACTTCAGGATTTGATGTCTCAAGATACCTGAGGAAAGATTTCATCCCATATAAAAGCCACAAGTATTGTACCTGAAATGAGAAGTTACAGAAAGGACCTTTATTTAAATGCATTTGAGGATACAGTACTGGTATGGAAAATAAACATTACATTCAAATATTTGAGTGTCTAACACTACAGCAGGGACTGCATCAGTACTTTTTGCAAAGGAAGCTTCAACGGGCCATGCAAGTGCTCCCTGTGAGTTAATAGCCTTGTTTTCCTTAGTATGCTTAATGCTTTGATCTGTGAAAGCCAAGCCGAAGGCAGAGAGTTTGGCTGGGTGAATCCAACATGGGCACCTTCCTGTTCCTGATCAGGGCTCTTTTCTTTGTAGCTGAATGTATAAATGACTGAACCAGCAGCTTAACCTCCATCCCTCACCTGAGTTTGTTAGCTATGTCTGTTTTGATAACCACATGATTTTTAGGTGCTGCCAAGTGGGTATAGGATAGTGGGCTGTTTTGAAGATCATTCTCATTTTGGGTTTATTCTGAAGTTGAAAAAATGGTAACATTGGATATAGTGTAAAATTCTCATAAAGAAACTTCTCTCTCAAGTTGGAAGGGACCCATAAATCCAAAGGGCATCCAAATTTTACTATGACCTTTTCTTTACTGCAGGGTAAAAAAATCAGTTTATTTTTTCAGAGACGAAGAAGAACCTGCTTGATGGTGTTGCCCACACATAAGCTTGTATTTATGAAACTTCCTAGATCACAAAAAAAAAACTTATTGGAAGGGGTTCTGTTTAGTCCAGTCTGTCACTCAGTGCAGAACTTTGCCTATGTTGGGTGGGTCAGTGAGGCTTTCCCTGGCTAAGTCCCAAAAACCTCCAAGCTAGAGACTGTAGCATTTCTCCAGGAAACTAATTTCAGTGTTGTTGCACACTTCCTCCTGAATGTTTTCCTGGAGTCTAAGCTGAACTTCCCATGCCCCAATTCGTGGCCTTGCTGTTACTTGTTGCCAAAAAGAATGGTTAATCTCTTGTAACTACTCTTGAAATAATGCTTGACTGTGCTTAAAACAGTCACTTTTATCTTATTTTTGCAGCCTGGTTCCCTCAGCCTTCCCTCTCAGATCAGGTACTCTAGGCCCTTTATCATCTTGGTGATCCTCTACTGCCTGGATCCTGTTTTTTGATATGTTCCTCTTGAACTGGGGGACTCCAAACCACCCATGTTCCAGATGTCGACTCACAAGCATTGAGTAGAAGGAGGCAATAATCACAGAATCAATTCATTTGGAAAAACCCTGTGAGATAACGGAGTCCAACCTGTGACCAAACACAACCATGTCAATAGACCATGGCACTGAGTGCCACATCCAGTCTTTCCTTAACCAATTCTAGGAACAGTGACTCCACCACCTCCCTGGGCAGATCTTTCCAATATCTAATCATGTTTTTGGTGACAAAATTCTTCCTAATGTCCAACCTAATCCTCCCCTGGCACAGCTTATGCCTATGTCTTCTCATCCCATCTCTGATTGCCTTGGAAAAGAGACTGACACCTCCCCTACCCCAGCTGGAGCCTCCTTTCAGGTATTTGTGGAGTGATACTGTCCTCCCTGAGCCTCTTCTCCAGGTTAAACAACCCCAGCTCCCTCAGCCACTCCTCACAGGACTTGTGCTCCAGACCCTTCACCAGCTCTGTTGTCCTCTGGACCCACTCCAGCACCTCAGTGTCCTTCCTGAACTGAGGGGCCCAGAACTGGACACAGTACTTGAGATGTGGCCTCAGCAGTGCTGAGTACAGGGGGACAATCACTTCCCTGGTCCTGCTGGCCACACCATTGCTGATACAGGCCTGGTGTCATTAATCTTGGCCACCTGGACACATACTGGCTCATGTTCAGCTGCTGTCAACCAGCACCCTCAGGTCCCTTTCCTTTGGGACACTTTCCAACCACTCTGACCCCACCCTGTAGCCCTGCATGGGGCTGTTGTGACCAAAGCGTAGGACCCAGCACTCAGTCTTGTTGAATCTCATGTTGTTGGTCTCAGCCCACTTCTGCAGCCTGTGGAGATCCCTCTGCAGAAATGCTGATCCCAAATTGCTGAATTGTGCTTTGTCTTGCAGAGAGACCAAACTGTTGAGAACAAACTTCAGTTCAGGTCACTGTTAAACATATTGTGGCGTATGAAGTCCCAGTTCTGACACCAGCATAGTCTGCATAGTACTGGCCACCAGCCAGGTGTCAACGCATTGATTGTGACATTTTGAGGTCAGTGGTTTAGCCAATCTTTATTCCATCTAACAGGCCTTTTGTGTGACCCCACAGAGCACCGAAAGGTGCAAAAGAGCACCGTGGAAAGTGGTATCAAAAGCTTTACTGAAGTGAAGGTATGCTACATCCCTGCTCCTTCCTCATTGCCACATGCATTCATCACAGAAGGCAGCCAAGCTGGTCAAGCATGGATTACCTTCACTAAATATGTGCTGACTGTTCCTGTGTGTATCTTTGTATTGTTTAAATGGTTGGAAATGGATTCCAAGACTAGGTATTCCATCATCTTCCCACTGACTGACGTGAGACCAACTAGCTTATGGTTCCCTGGCTTCTCTCTCCTCAAAAGCAGGAATAGCATTAGCACATTTCCCATTGGCAGGAACCTCCTCCCACTGCTCTAACTTCTCATAAATGAAGGACAATTCCAACACTGGACAACTCTATCTTCATTTCTAGGTGAATCACACTAGAGTCAATGGATTCACAGTCACATATGTTGTTCCTATTTATTGTTCCCTGTTTATTACTTCCTTTCCAAAACCTTACTGATTTACATAGGGGTTTGGGAGGAAATTTTGCTTGAGTGGTACCTCAGCCTTTTCCATGCCATCCACTGATGGATCTGCATTTTCTCTGGACTTTTTTTGTCATTAGTATATTTGTAACTCTTCATGTCCCTGCTCTTAATTCCAGCTGAGCTCTAACCTTCCTGACTTTGTTTCCAAGTGCCTGCGCAAAGCTCTTATACTCCTCCTTTGCTGTCCCAGTTTCAACTTCTTACATGTTCTCCTTTGTTGTAGGGAAGCTCTTTGTCCAAATTCCCAGTCTAACACTATGTGACGGATTCCTTCTGCACATCTAAATGTATTATTGAGCTTTAACAAGTTTTTCCTAAAAATCACCTTTTCCCATTTATAGTAGCTTCCAAGGGAATTACTACAGACTTAGCAATTCCCTAAATAAGCAGAATTTTGTTTTGAAGTCCAAAGTCTGGACACCTCTGCTTTTTATGCAACAGTAAATAGATACCTGCAGTCTTTCTCTGCACCGTGAACTCTTGTGAGAACTACAACCCAAGTGGCCACATTCAGGACCCATTCTTCTCTGTAGGCAGGTCAAGTTCAGCATTACTACTCACTGGCTCTTAGTATTTGAATTAGACATAATTACAGACAGTTTCTAGGAACTTCAGGGATTGCATCTATTCATTGCATAAGAGTTTTTGCTCTGTCAGAAGATGTCTGTGGAGCTGAAAACCCCTATGAGGACCAGGGTCTGGGAATGGGAGTAGTTTGTTTTCCAGCTGTTTCTTGAAAACCTGTTTTGCTTCCAAGTCCTTGAGAACACTTCACTGCACATGGACTTCGAATTCTTGTTTCTTTGCTTAAGTGTTCTGAACTTGCTGGCAGCCTCTAAATAGCCTCTCCTCTGAGCAGAAAAGTCAAAGTGTCACCTGTTGCCTTCTCCCTTGCTTGCCTCCTCCATTGACATCTACTGCTAAGTGACTGTTGTGGCACTTATTTTCTAAGGAATAGTATTAGTCTTTCTAGTAAAAGCGATCTAAAGGAGGGGGCCTTGATTCTGCTTTTACAGTGTTAGAAGCATAGCAGGAGGCTGGGCCAGGCTGGCTGGCTTTGAGCATCTTGGTCTAGTGTAAGGTGTCCCTGGCCCTAGCAGGGGTCAGAACTGGATGGTCTTTAATGTCCCTCATTCTACCATAAATTCTGTGATATGCTAAGCTGGCACCTGTCCAGGAAAGAGTATTTCATTAGCTGAAAGAGCAGCATTAGCTCAGTCCCCATCATTACTGATGGTATAATCATGCCTGGACAACCAACATGAAATCCTTTGGCAGTAAAACAGAAACCATCTTTGTTCCACTGGTACTTACTGAGTCCACATTCACAGTGCAGAACTTAGGCCTGCCTGTGGTAAGTTACAAACACTTGCTGGCATCTATGTTTATTGCAGGAATCCAGAGTTTAATGCTGCTGGAGAATCACCTTCACCAGAACACTGGTGAAGCCATTTTGAAAAATGAGTAATTAACTACAGTTTCAAGATTAAATTCCTGAAAGACCATTAATCACCAGTAGATTTGTTTCTCCTAAAAGAAAACTACCATTTCATCATTGTCTTGTGAAAGTGATAACCAACTTTCCTCTTCTTCCAAGTGTTCTTTCTACGAACATTGTTTACAATGTGTTTACAGCCAGATCAGGATTCAGTTACATACTGAACACTCTCCATATCCTTGCCTTCATGGATTTTTGCTACAGCCATAAATGATAATATACTGCACTTTGCACTGGCAATTTTAAGTTCCTGATATGTTATTCCATGGTCTACTGTGTGGTAGTTATTACAGCAAAACACAAAAAAACCCTTCTGAAAGAATTTCCCAAAGTAAGGAAAAAGTAATTTAACCATCTAAAAGGCTGATGCTGGAAGAAGTAAGACATCAGGTTAGCATATCATTGTGACTCTGCCAGTATCTAGGAAGTCTGAAACAATATTTCTGCTGACATGTGGATTCTGAAAGTAATTTTTATAATTGAATTTTAAATATCCTTTCTCTTATCATCTACTTTCATGATTCTGCTTAGAGGTTTTTTCCACCAGAATTTATCATCATAACAGGTAATTTTCTTAGATGCCTCATCATTTGATCCAATTGTGGAAGAAAAAAAGTCTATTCCTATTATTTTCTTATTTTCAAAAAGTATCAGAAAAAGTTCACATTAAGATTTGTAGATCTGCACTCCTGTATTCATTAATTCAGTTTTCAAATACAGCAATCCCCTCTATACTTCTACCTCAGACACTATATTTGTTTAAAACCCTTGATTTATGTGGTCTCTTAAATGTATCCTCAAAACATCCTTGGTCTGTAATGAGATATTTTTATCACCAATAGATTACTTGGTCCTTCAGGTGATCCACAGACCTGAGATCTGTCACTAAATGTTGTCTACAGCAGTGACACTGTGCAAGAAGTAATGTGTCCTGAGTAATCACACCTTTGTAACTGCTCAGTCTGGAGGAGTTCCTTTCCCTTATAAATCAAGAGACAGCATTCAATGTATCCTGTATGTATATTCCAGATGTTAACTAATGACAGACCACTGTTTATGAATTTTCATAGAAATGTAACACTGCTCCCTAACTGCATTCTAAGTTCCTCAAGTCGTGGGTCCATTTTGGTTAACAACTGTTGATTTTCTTACATCATAAAATCACCTGGAGGTTTTCTGCAAAGCTGTTCTGCAGGATACATCTTGGCATGTAAGCAGAACATGGGGTTTCAGAATGCCTCCCATTTCTTTAAATCACTTGCTAAAAGATTAAATCCCACATACTTACAACCTGGAAAATCTTTAAAGGGTTATGAGGTTGAAATCAGTTAATGAAAGCTAAAGCTGAATTGTGAGAAATATTATGTGGTCTGTAAGGACCCAAGCAATGCTGATCAGCTTTGCCTATGAAATTTCATTACTCACTGAACAGTCATAAAGCTTACTCTATTGTTCAGTCATCCTGTTTAGAGATCTAATTCAACAAGATTATATTAAAGGGAATTTTAGTTAGGTTTAAACTTCTGTCTTCATTTTTGGCTGACAGAGTCAAGGCAAGTTGAACACACACATATGTGAACTCAAGAAAAATAAGTTTTTGGTCATAACAGGAGCCCTTTCCAGTGTTTCCTGTGTATATTTTACATCCTGTTGTGCCTTCACCACTGTTGTACCTTCTAATAGGATCAACATTCATGAAAGAACTCAGGATTAGCAGACTGCTTCTTTATATACCCTAAGCAGAAAGCTCAAGATTTGTAGGGACCAACTGTAAACAAACAGCATGAAATATCACATAGAGCATTTTCACCTGCACACAGCTAGATGTCAAAATCAATAGCTTCCTAATTAAAACCATAATTTAAGTTAGAAAAAACCTAGTTGCTAAACACTTCTTATTCTTAAACTAAAAGCAGACCTTGTCCAACAGTGACTAGGGGTAAAACACAGAATGGGAACTAAAAAGTTTAGACACTATGCAGATAAAAAAGATTTGATATAATAAAAGTGGTAATTGAGAAAGCATATTGAAGGCACTTGTCCCAATATCTGTGGGTAGGGTTTTTTTAAAATTTATCATCCCCATGTTTTTGTAAACTGTCACAAAACAAGACAGACACTGTGTGGTAACCAGTATGTTTCTCTTTTTGAAGGTAATCAGGCTGATATTTTCTTTCAGATAAGGACTACATGATCTTTAAAGGTCCTTCCCAATCCAAATAATTCTGTAATTCACAAAACAGGCACTCCACATAGAGTATTAAAAAAATTTGAAATTAACAGCTTGCATTTGCAAAATGAAACCATGATTCTGAATGCCTTAAACATTCATATATACATTATAATTTACTATTTTCTGGATTTATTTAATACAAAAATCAAGCACTCTCAAATAAAGAACACTTATTATGATTTATGAACCATGTACTAAATAACACTTTCTCAAACACATAATGTATTAAGAACTTACCTAAGCATGGTGCTATCCAATATACTAGTGAGTAACTCAAAAATTTGTCATAGAAACAATCTGCATGTAATGAAAAAGCCAGTGCTGGATTAAATATTGCTCCTGTGAGATTTCCACCTGCAATAAGATGTACACAGCATGAAGTCAAACCATGTTTCTTAATATTTACTTTAAATTCAAATGCACATACACCATACTACAAGAAATCTACACCATGCAATGAAATGAATTAGCAGAAACAGTTTGAACAGGTAAAACTCTTCTAAAGTTATTCACCTGATGACAGTTTAACTGTTTTCTCAAAGCTTTAAAACATGTGAAGGGTAAGCTATAACTTCCTTTCTCTCTTTCTAACAAGTACTCTTTGAAGAGATAAGTCTGGCTAATACTGAATGTTTCTACTGATAAAACTAGAATCTATTTCCGTATCATGATTTTAGAGGAGACAGAAATTAAACCCATCACATTACAGCCTTATGTCACATGAAACACATATGCAAGATAAAAGAAAAAGCTGTCAAGTAGTGTTCTTGCTAAGCTCACCTCTATACTTTCTTATAAGAACACCAATATTATATCAATGTACAGAATGTTAAGATTTTCACATGGTATAAGAACTGTGGGAAAACTCTATATGTTGTTCAAAGAAAATAAAAGTGAGTGCCACTCCACTGTCTTGTAGAAGGAAGCCAAGCATCTTTCCTTGCCTCTGATTTCAGATGTAGATGAAGTTGTCTAAACATTTTCTAAATAACAAGATCCAAACACATTACATTGGGCACTAAACCATAATTACACTGCAGATGAACCTGGAGCTGTGTTTAATTCTGACATATGTTGTTCCTCTCATTGCAATTCTGCAGAAAAAGCATTACTCATAGCTAAACTACTTGTATTCCTGTCCTATTAGTTACTTACCACCCCATAACTGTTTTTTGTATTAACCTATTACCATAAAATATTCTATAATTTCATCTGTATAATTCCTTACAGCTTATTCTTGACTTCTCCCCAAGTAAGCTTGTATGAGCTTTGAACTTACCCGTTGTACAAATTACCCTGCTGCTGTAATCCTCATTTGCTGTGACTGCGCAATCATTTATCCAAAGTTTTAGTAAGGTCTTTGTCATTCACTTCTTCTGTATTTCTCTTTCTATATTCTCCCTATTATTTCTTTTACTATTATTACAGTTCAGGAAAATTTTAATCTTTGTTTGCCTACTCAGTTTACTGTGGTTTTACACTTGCTCTCAAGAACAAGTCAGATTTACTGTGCAGTCTGTTTTTCTGCACACTGACATATTAGCAATGTCCATGGTTGCTAGGAAGCCCAGCTACAATAATTTACTTTGCTTTAATCTATTTATGACTCCACTGCTTCTGCTTTTCTATCCACAAACATACAGTTGAAAGCAGAATTTCACTCTCAGGATGCAGTTGATGAACATCAAGCATTAGACAGGGTTTTAACTGCTGTATTTCTTCAATATCCATTACTAATAACTACTGGAATATCAACCATAGGCCAGGGGTACCACTGTAATCTTACTTAAAATTATTTATTTAATACCTCAGTCTGTGTACCAGAAAAGACAAATTATTTTATGGCAGAAGAAGTGTAATCTCTTTGATGGGATATGCATAAAAACTTTAAAAGGGGAACTAATGCTACACAGTGCATAAGAAAGTTATTTTACCTTTTTGCCTTTATTAAAGGCCAAAATTAGGAAGAAACTCAGAATTCAAAATATGTATGTAATTTGTACCTTGATATGTTAGGCTCAGAAAAATCTGATCCATTTCATATGATTCTGACTTAGCTGCAATGCTGCCTTTAAATTAAAAAGCCTTCAAAAGGTGTATTTTTATGACTCCTAAATTTGTACTTTCCCAAAGGAATTAAAATATTAAAATATTCTTTACCATCTTGTATATGGTCTGCATCCTTAGATAATGAGCCATTCCTTTAATATGCAAAGACATAATGTTCTTTTTTCCCCTCTTTATGTAGTAGAAAAAAGAAAGTGAAGTATTGGACCTTTTGTGTACAGTATGTACTACTATAAAAACTTGGTTTGTGTAGGACCAAATGTAAAAGAAAACCCAAACAAATCAAAATATTTTTAATTGTGAAAAAGTATAAGAAAAACTAAAGAAACAGCTTGTAATTTTGATAATACTGTATAACCTGATGTTATTTGTTGGAGTAAGGTGCATGGCAGACCTCTAAACAGTAAACAACGAGGTGCAGAAGATTTCCTGAGAATGATCCAGCCCAGCTAAATTATGCATCTGTCTGTCTTCACAGCCTGCAATTGAGAACTCACCCTGCTGCAGGCCACTATTTGTGACACTTGATTTGTCAGTGACTCTCCCTACTGCGTGTAAGAAGCAGAGGTGGGACAGACATGATTAGGGCTAAGCCATGAGGTCTACAGCATATTTGGGATATGTGCTGCAGACATAGTCCATGGCCACTTACCAGGCTCCTCATTACTGCCTGAGCTAAGACAGGATCTGAATACCTATATATTTTTATAGTAGACAAGTAGATAGCAGTTTAAAAGAAATGCAAAGAAAAATGTCCCGGTAGCACAGGGTGTTGTGCACACGGTGTAAAAGAGGCCTGAGGTTTCCTAGAAGTACGTGCAGATCGATTGCACCGGAGAGTCCCAACAAGCCCAAGTTTTATGGCACAGAAGGGCACTTGGTACACTCAACCTTCACATGGCACACAGCCTTCTGCTAGAAAAAGATAGGAACTTGGCCAATGACACTGGGAGTGAATTCTTTGTATGAGTTAGCTAAAAGAAAGGCAGTGTGACACGTTTTATTTTATATGACTGCTTGCTAAGCAGGAGAAGAATGTTAGGAATCAGGAATCCAGATTTTTAAGCTTGTAGAAGAGGGAGGAGGATATTTGGCTACACTTCCACCAAGCAACTCAGAAATATATTTAATGTCCTCAAATGCACTGACACCTTGCTTCTGCTTTTAGAAAGTAGTTCAAATTGCTAAGTTAATTCTCAAAATTCCCCATCGACTTTTATCTTTTAGGTATTAGCTAATTTCAGCTAAAGATAATGAGTAAAGATTTTTACATTACTACATCTCAAAATGTGACTGTACACTGTTTTAGATGCTATTATGTTAAATAGCATTAATACAGCTAAACATTTAGGACAAGGCATCAATGACATCCTGGATGCTTGCAGGTAAGAGAAGTGATCTTCCTCTCTCAAAGGGATTTGGTAATTCCCTAGATGACTTTTTCTGTGGTGGGGGCAGTAGCAACAGCAAGAGTTCTGTAATCATCTCTTTCACCTCTCCAAGCTATACCATCTCCTTACCAGGAGAAGGACTCCCTGCAGGGCAGTCCTCGAGTGACCTAACAACTCTTGTCACTTCGATGTGGACAAGAGGGAACACCAACAGAAGAAAGAAGTTCAGATTGACTCCTCTCACCTCTCCCTTCCCATTGGTCCAGAGAGGATGCACAGGTGACAGCGTCCCAGCTCTGGGAAGCACGAGGTGACAATCAGGTAGTGAAAGGCAGGGATATGGACACACAGGACATTACAGACAAGGGAGGCTCTAATAAAACAGGCACTTTTTTTTTTTTTTCCTCTTTTATTACATTTGGTCTCATGAGGTATTATTTCTGTATGCATTCCACAAATAACCATTCCCACTTCTGACTGAAGGAAGTTGTTAAATAAACTGCACAGATATGAATTATGCATTATTTAAATGCAGAGCTTCTATATTACCAGTCTGTACCCTGCTGTTGCACAATCAGCACTTTTTCCTAGTGCAGCCAGCGGTGCTCTCCCAATGTCATTTAGTAATCAGAGCACATAGTATGAAATCTCTCACGCTGTATAAATAGTTGGATTATGAAACAATCCTTCACTGAGATATTTTAACACTTAACCATATGTACTTGCAGACCTGACATCACTTTAACTGCATAACTCATCTCGTTTTTAACCCCATACCTGCCTGGAATGCAACTGGGCAAACTTTATATAATAAACGCCAAATTAACTCTGCATGTGTAGGACGATACAAAAAGAAATCATCAAGGAAAATGTAACTTATGAAAAAGCATTTTGCACCTTAACACTTCTAAGAAAGCAGTAAGAATCCCTTCCACTACAACGTTATTGCAGGAACAAAAGAAAAAAAAAAAAGTAAAAATACTAACCTGCATACGCAAGCATGGTGATGAGAAGAGCAATCAAATGGACTCTGTATTTGGGATTAACACTTTCGGCTCGCAGGACGGCCAGCTGGAAAACGACAGAAAAGAGCAGTTCTACGCAGAACGCCTGCATCTCTGTAGTCTGCATGGGGCTGCTGCAGCCCTGTGAGAGTGCTCCAAGATGTGGCTCTGCCATCTCCAGACTCCAGATAAAGTGCATGAACACTCTGGCGAGCACTGCAGCCACGAACTGAGCGGCGATCTTGAGTCCCCCCATCCTGAGCGATGTCCCGCCGCCCCACATGGGCTGCAGAGTCCCGCAGGGATTGCATGCGCTGCCGGCGAGGGTCAGGCCGTGCAGGACGGTGAAGCCGTAGGTGAGGGTGAGGGCGGTGTGCGGCTTCGGCTCCACGTTGCCGAGCAGGGTGAGCTCGTTCGTGCAGGCGCAGATCTGGAAGGTGCTGAACATCTCCACAAGGAAAGCGAAGAGGAGCGGGCTGGAGCGCAGCCGGCGCCGGGCCAGCCTCCGGCACAGCCCCACGGTCACCACCACGCCGGACATCAGCAGCAGGGAGCTGCCGAGCCCACCGACAGCCATGCCCGGAGCTTCACAGGCCCTACGGCTGGCGGAAGGTCCAGCCCCACCACCTGCGGGGAGAAAGAAAGCAGGAGAGGGAGGGAAAATGCCGCCGCTTTCCTCTGGAGGTAGGAACCAGCTTCTGTTCCCACCTGCGAGGAGCCTGACTCACCCTGCGCTCGGCGGAGCAAAGGGCAGGGCTGAGGGCAGGGGTTAGGACAGGGAAGCTCTCTCCCTGCGGTGGAAAAGCACGGGGAGGGGAGCGGGGCCGAGGGGGCTCGGCTGCCCCCTCAGCCCCTCCGCCGCGGGACGGATCGGGCTCCCCTGTCCCCTCAGCCTGCCGGAGGACAGGGAGGGGAGGGAGGACCTCGGCTCCCGGCCGCGGGGGAACGGGAGGGGAGCCGATTTCCCCGGCGCGATCGGCGTTGCGGTGTGTCCGTGGCTGCGGGAGCGGTTCCAGCCCCAGCCGGAGCCGGGCACGGGCTCGGCCGCGCCGCCCCCTCCGGCGGGAGCTGCGGCACCGCGCATGCGGGCGGGGCGCGCGGGGCGCTGAGGGAGCGGCGGGGCGGGCAGGGGCAGCTCCGCGGGCTCGCCCGGGCTGGCACCGGCACAGGACACGGCTCCGGACACGGCTCCGGACACGGCACCGGACACGGCTCCGGCTCCGGACACAGTTCCGGCACCGACCCCGGGCCCGGCTGCCCGCGGAGATCACATCCCACGCCCCGCGGTTTGCAACGTGCTCGAGAGAGAGACACTGGTTATTTATTTAGAGCTGCGCAAGCCTGCGTGCTCGGTGGTGTTCAGCAAAAGGAGCACGCCAACTATCAGAACTTTTGTTACTATCTATACATTGTAGCAGGCATTGCAGAATCACAGAAACAATTAGGTTAGAAAAGACCTCTAGCATGACGTTAAGTCCAACCCGTGACCGAACACCATGTCAACAGACCATGGCACTGAATGCCACATCCAGTGTTTCTTTAAACAGCTCCAGGCACAGTGACTCAACCACCTCCCTGGGCAGCCCATTCCAATGTCTAATCACCCCTTCTGTGAAGAAATTCTAATGTCCAGCCTAAACCTCCCTTAACATAGCTGAAGCCTATGCCTTCTCATCCTGTCTGGAAGAAGAGACCAACCTCCCACCTGGCTACAGCCTTCGGGGAGCGGTAGAGAGATTATGTCCCCCCTGAACCTCCTGTTCTCCAGAATAAGCACCTCCAGCACCTTCAGCCACTCCTCATAAGATTTGTTCACCGACTACAAGTTACATAGTTCTCTTATTAGTACTCTATCTTCTATTGGTTAATGATTCCCTCACTTCTCATGTTAATTAGTCTGCATGCTCAGTGTTTATAATTTTTGAGTCAGTGTGTTCCTTGGGTTAGGGGTGCATGAGTTGGTGGTCGGGATCTCACCCTGCTATTACCTTTCTCACCCTGAATTCTCACCCTGAATTACCTTTTACCCAGCTGGAGCTGATTCTGCACAGTTGCTGAGTTGTCTTTACTAGTTTCTTCCTTATCATGTAAGTTCTGCCAAATGTCCTTGTGGCCTGTAAATTCTGTGCTGCAGTACATCCTTCTTCCAAAGCTTCCTCTAGGCCAGAGTTCATTGAAACTTGTTGAACCCTAAACCTTAAAAAGACAATTCTACTGACAATTTGCTTTTCTGACACCTGGACATCACTTAGAGCTTCTTGGCTGCTTTCATGGATTAAACCTCCTTTCTTGTTGATCAGACTTGAAATATATGAAGATCAAACATTACAGAACATCCTTTCTTAAGGAAATTTTTACATGTACCACATTTTGTAATGAGAGGGGTTTCTTTCCTGTGTTTTTGGGAACCCGGTGGTGCAAAACGCAGGTGTGCAGATTGACTCAGCCTCTTCCTCCCACTCACTTGCTGGGAGAAGGGTGTTTGACAGTATGCCCGGAGGAAGCAGGTGGTGATTCTTGGGCTTCTCTGGTGGAAGCAATGCTAAAAATAGGCATCAGCCTCATTCTGCTGAATGTGGTAAGGCTGGCATTCATAGCAGGGCCCAAATGGCATCAGGACTGTCCTGGAAAAATAGTCATGGGCTCCTTTAGGTTAATTCTTTTGGCCTGGTAACTAAGAAGGGTGAGCCCAGTGTGAGGTAATTGGGAAATTGGGAAATGCTTTCTGTCCTGTTAGGCTGGGGCTGAGTTTTCCTTCAGTCTCTCCCTGTAGTGCTGTTTTGCAGTGTTTGGAATGGGTTGTACCTCTTGCCAGAGTGTTTTTCTGGTGGGAAAAGAGAAAAAATTCTTGTGCCCAAGCTCTGCGCACAAGAATGGTTGTTTCATGTCATTTGGTATACTGATTTACTTTTCACCCTAATAAGTCAAAAATAAAAGTGTTTTATGGTGCTTCTTCCTACTTTTCCTCCTCTCTGTCACTGGCTGGTGATGTGTTTTTAGGGGCGTCCAGATACTTGTTTTATGAACTCTAAAACTGAAGTGCTGCAAGCAGCAGTAACCACTGTGCTGCAGTTCAGTGCACCTGCAAGGAGGGGCAAATGCTGAATGTCTTTACAGAATTCCGGTATTCAGTAGTTTTGCCACAAGGTGGCATCAATGACAGTTTATCAGACCTCGCAGGAATGACTTCTGCCAGATCAAGGTCCGCACAGAGTGTTTCTTGCAAGGAAGCGATACACAGATGTATTACTTCAAAACAACAACAGCAAGCTTTTAGTTGAAGGTCAACCTACCATAAAGATCAAAGTTGAAACATACAGAATTGTTTCTCTAGAAGGGAGTGACATGATAAGCTCTTCCTCACTTGCAGAAATGTAGGACCCTTGAGACATCTGGGCCTAAGAAGTCTGGGGATAAATGGGTATTTGGAAGGTGCATTTGACTTTGAGAAATAGGGTTGTTTTTAACAGGAGAGGGGAAAAACAGCAGTTGAACAGTGATGATATAAAGAAAGGAAAGAGAAAATGACAGAGGAGTTAATATTTGGCTTTTACCGTTTGTACAAGATTAGATGTCAAAAAGCTTGAGTGAGGCAAGGCAGGAGACATGACTAAGTCATTACATAAGTCTCAAAACACTTCCATGAAAACCATGCATTGAAACAACTGTTTTACCCAGCAATGATGTTGTATATATGTAATGTGGAAGAAAAAAAACCCAGTCTCTTTCAGAGCCTTGAACATTTATTTACATGTATGACCAATCATGAATTTATTATTTTAAAACAGACTAATAAGGTAGATGTTTGATTTAACAGCACGGTCTCTTGGTGAATTACCGGAGTGTGGATTGGAATTGATTGCATCTTTTAGTTATCTGCATGACCAGCTGTGAATATTTTACTTCCTGGTGTACATATAATTGTACTTTTTAACCACTAGAGGGTAGTGCCATTCCAAACAATTGCCTTTGGTGTGCTCCTATAGGAGCTTTATTTTGTGTTTTGTCACAAGGAATAGTGGAATAGAGAATAGTAGATCTCCTATGAACAACTTCAAACCCTTAATTTTGTAATTTGTAAAAACGAGTGTTCAAGTCTGAAATGTCTCTTAAAATTAACTTTACAACATATAGTTTTTGGTACTGAATTAGTTAGGCTTATCAGTTTCTTCTTGGTGGCATTGGTGGCTTTGCCTCATTCCAGGTTGTCCCTGTGTATGCTCTCTCCTCCCTGAGCAAGATTCCCTCGTGTTCCTGCCTGCTCTATACCAGGACATATATAATTTCCCTTTTATCTGATTTGTCCCATTTATTTTTCTCCTCATTTCAGAGTCCCTCCACATCCTTTTCTCCCACTTTCCCTCCCATGCAAATCAGTCTTTGTGTTTTCCTTCCTATTTATGCGTATTCCTACTTTTCTTCTTTGCCCAAGCCCTTAAATTTCCTGATTTTCTGTACACAGTTAACTGTTCTTAGCTTTGTGTATGGTTTCAGCTTCTTTCTTTCCTAAAATTCCCTCATCTACTTCCTTTTTCTACGGCAGGCTGAGTCATTTAGAGGGTATCAACATGCCAAGTATTCTTGGATGGGTTTTGCAGGGGTGAAATTGGGCATTATCATGCTACAAAATGCTGGCCAATGCTTCCATCCAAATTAATGTTATTGAATAATTGCAGAGGAGCTGATTCTGTGGTTCAGGTAACAATATACCAGGGAATCTGTGTGCCCCATTTTCTCTCCTGTAGTTCAATTGGTTCCCCCCAAAATTAGTCAATTTCTACTGACATTTCAAGCTGCATTGGAAATACAGAAAGTAAAATACAGAAAGTAAAAGTAGTCATAGTGCCTCCAAACAGAAAATCCTTGTTGAGCAGGCCCTGGCAAGCTCAGGCACAGCTTCAGCACAGCTTTTCTTAGCAAGTGGCTATGGAGGTTTGTGACATTTCCCCTTTCACAGCAGTTGGATGCCAGAGCCAAGGTTTGCACCAGAGGGCAGCCGAAAGCCCTGGTGTGCAGAGATCCCGGTGCATGGGCAGTAGGGAAGAGCCGGGGATCACGCCAGCAGGGGAATTGCTCAGTACAGAGGAGTCTGAGCTCTTAGATAGTACATCCAGGAGCCTTTTGATTTCAGGGCAAGAAATGGCACTGAGGGCTCTTGCCATGAGGACCTGGTGAGGGCATTGGCACAGATCGAAGTGTGGAAATTGTACAGACTCTTTAAAGCTCTGCCAGTACTGGCAGATTAAACAGCATCAGGGATGTTCCTGAGCACCAAACTCAGCTGTTTCTACTGATTCTCATAATCCTTACGTGGTTTTAGCTGGGGCCAATGAGCAATATCTCAAAATATTCCAGGGTGTGGGTTAGAGGATACATCCTGCTGTTAACAAATAGGCAGACTGTACTTTCACTGACTTTCTGAGGCTTTCATGGACTGGACATTGGATGCCCTGTGCCAGCTGGCCTCAGGGGCAGAGACTGGTCCCAGACTTGTTTAATTTACTAATGTGAGTGTAATCACAGTGACTAGGCCCAGCCACTGGACTGAAAATCTGTTTTTGCAAACCCTGCTTGATATAGACACCAGGAACTGAAGGGAGGTTGCTTCCATCTGTTCCCCTACTCTGCCTCCAAAGGTTACTGCCTTATACAAAAGGGCCAGAAAGTTTATTTGCTCTCCAGTTATGACTGACCATCTTGCACTTCTAGCACTGAGTTAGACCACTGATTTTTGTTTTCTGATCATGCTGTTGGCTTTGATGGGAAGGACTTTTTTTTCCTGTAAGTGTAACAAGCAGTGTTATTTTGTGGGGTGAATCACGGACAAAGGAAATCTCTAAACCACCTGATGTTCATAATCTCTGAGGTAACTAGACATATACAAATTAATTAAAATGGATAAAATCACTACTTGGGAATACCCTGACTCATATGCAGGACCTTGAACTTCATTGAACATCATGAGGTTTGCAAGGGCCCAGTAAATCCACTCTCATCAAAAAGGATAAAA